AAAATATTATATAATGCATCAGATCTGGTAATATTTTCCCGTCATTCCCATTATTTTTTATTTTTTCCATATGATAGCATCCTTAAATCAGACTCAATAATCAAAAGGCAACTATTATATTGCGATTTATAGAATAATTCTATTACATTTAGAATGGCTAAGAATTTAGTAGCGTTTTGAGTCCATAGCACCCACAAATTTAAAAAACAAACACAAGACATTACCTGAGGCATTTCTAAGCATACCACCAATATCTGTATCTCCTGACTTGCCTCTTGAGGATCCATCAACATATCAACATTGAATTTCAAGGTTCCATGTTCCGGCGGCATACACAACTGAGATTCAACTTGGTACATTTTTCTTTAATTTATTCCAGCAACACTATTGCACATAAGAATGGGAAAACACTGAGCAATAAGGCTTCAATTAAAATTATTTTTAGTAAATATACAATATTCCAAATATAAAAATGTCCTACCGTTAAATTCACAAATCAAACAAATTATGTATTAGTAAGATTCCTAAAATTTTATTTTATTTTACTTTTTCACATAAGAGGAGAGCAGAAGCTCGAAGAAACTAAAAACTGAGTTTGGGATAGGATACTCTGTTTATATCATGATTTAACCAGTAAACTAAACCAGCAGGGGGACTACTAAGACATTATATTAAACATTATAATATATTTAAGACATTATAATATATAGGATGCCAACATTATATTAAACATAGCAAGCTATTTGAGACATTTATTCTTTTTTTTTTTTTTTTTTATGCACAATAGCAAATTTATAATGTTAAATTTTAGTTGAATTTTAATCATAAAATAATTTATCATATGTAATAGATATTTTCAAATTTTATAAAAAATAAATTTTTTTACGTAAACTACGGTTATCTGAACTCTATTACCAAAAATCGCCTAATATGGCTCAGAACTTAGTCACAGTACTTAGTCACAGTTAAGGCTTTTGGCTCTTCCCTGCTGCGTTGCGATCTGAGCCCACAGGTAAAAAAACAAAGTTTTTAAAAAATGAAGAATAAATTTTCCACTACTGACTAGCTATTCTATTTCTTTTTAATTTAATTCGCTAACTAGACAAAGTTTTTAAGAATCAATAAGAATATTACCATGATAATTGCTTTGATGTGATTTTTAGTGAATTGTATTCCTCCAGGTTCAGGTTGATATCTCTCCCTGGTGGGTGCAATCTCAGTGTTTCCTTCACCACCATCTTTAGGTATTCAAGCTTGTGAATATCACTTTCAGATACTTTTGTTTTGTTTCCAATTAATCTTCTGATTTCTTCTTGTGCTTTTCTCATAACTCATTAACTTTACCCTTAGGATCAGAGAAAAAGGACAATATTAGATGAAAGGAAAATAATCAAAAAAAAAAAAATAATCTCAAACTATTTTCAAAGTATTTTCCATGTTTGGGATACAATAAAGGAAAGAAAAAATAAATTTATTTTCCTTTTATTGAAAAGGAACAAATTTGCAAAATTGAAAAGTTAGTGTGTTTAATAAAAAAGTTTTTCAAAATTGGAAGTGGTTCAAGAGTTGAAGAACCACAAGATTTTTTTTGTTAAAACACCATGGATGAATTATAACATTTGGCTGAAGTTTGCAGTAAATATTACTATATTGTCTGGTTTATAACATTTTGGCCTATTTGACGCTTCAGTTATAAAATAAAAGAATTATTTCAAAAAATAAATTATAAAAAAAAGGTCTAAAAATTATTGGTAAATTGACCTTTGGAAACCTAAAATTAGTTGGTTGTCTTTCAATCTTATAAAACTAACTTCGCTAAGCAACTTCAATTAGTTTAAAGCAGCTAGCTATCAATGGAAGAGACAATAATAGATTACAAGAAAATGATGAAGTAGTTAATGATAATATATTAGTAAGTTACGTTAACTTCATGTTTGAGAGATGTAGCACAAACCGTTTGTTCACACTACACATGTTGGGTAACAACATTTGCACATAAATAACCAGATAATGCCTTGAAAAACTCACCTCCTTAATTCAAGCCTTGTAACATTTGAATAGATATATTTAAAAATAATTTTTTTCACAAGTGGGAATTTGAATGAAGGTTGGTAAAAGTAAAAACATTCAGATGTTTGTTCTTTAAGAATAGACCCTTGAATATTTGCAATAGTGATCATGTAAAAACAAACATAAACTCGATAACTATTTATTTTCTTTTATTAACTTAAGCATCAGAAGTGTTGCAGGTTAAGGCCTCTCTTTTCTCTCCCTTTTTGTTTCATATCTTGTAGATTTCAACCATGGGGTTATTGGATGCGTATGGGATAGATTTTTTCTAAATCTAAATTCACTATTTAATAAAAAAAACTTAATATTTATTAAAGTAAAAAATATTAATTAATAAAAAAACTTAATATTTATTAAATGTAAAAAATTATTAATTAAGATTTATTAGTTTGTAACTCCATTATTTAATAAAAAAAACTTTTTGATTTTATTAAATTTAAAAAAAATTAATTATAATGAAAAAAAAAATGGCACATCATTAGTTTCATACTCTAATATGTTGCCACGTAAGCATTTATACCTTAAAAATTATATATTTACTAGTCACGTGCTCGCGCGATGTGTGGATTATAATATTTTGTTATTAGTCCTATCATTCTTCAAGACTCACCTAAGTAATCAATAAAAAAAGAGAAATAAAGTGTCAAAATTTCATTATTTTTTTTCTTGAATTTAGAAAAAAAATTTCATATTTATTTATAAATATAGATCTAGCACTCCCATAATAAAATAAAAAGAGTATTTGCTAATTATTTGTTCTTTGAGTCTAAATCCGAGTGCACCAGATGTGAATCAATATATCAAGGACATTATTTCACTAACGTGTGAGAATCTACATTTTAGAAGAAAATTAAACAAAAAGATACAAAAAAAACCGGTTGACAACCCAAATTTAACCATGCCAAATGTCCAATTCATACACAAACATAGTAAATAAAATAGATAAAAACTAAAAACTAATCAAATAAATCAACTAATAATCTTGAAAGATCTTTCATTATTTGTAAAAATAATAATAAAACAAAATCACAAATGTTATAATAATTAATAAAAAAAAAGGCAAAGAGATCTTATTAGTTGATTTCTTTCATTAAAAGAAAGTATTACTTTGGTAGGATTTGTGAACCAATAAGTTCACCAAATTTCATGCAAATATAAATAGTGTGGCATGTTAGAAAACTTCGATCATAAATTGTGATAGAAGCTTCTATTATTTTCCTCTGCCGTATTGTTATTGGTTTTCGGTAGCTTCCTCTCCTAGAGGAGGAAAGAGAGAAAAGAAATGGAGGAATGATTTATTTATTTATGTTGCGAAAAGGAATTATTTACACTATTTTTGCATACTGTATTTATGAAATATTCATTCACATTTAAGGCAAATGATTGATTGCCAAGAATACAAAACAAAGGCTATTACAAATATAAATTTCCCACTTTGTATTGATAAATGAGAATAATTAATAGTTATATAATAAAACAATGAATTAAAAATGCAAAAAGAAAAAATGCAAATGAGCACTTCAAAGCTCTAATTTTGTGCCATGTCAATTTTGAAGGTTCTATTCTTATATATTTTCTTATATATTATATATATATAATTATATAACTCGTCTACAACATCAGCTATAATCCGATCCAATGAAATAAGCAATATAATAATTTGCATCTTACCTTTAGTACTGGCACATCAGAACTTTATAAAGCAATACAATTTACGTTTCCTATCTCTAACTAAACTGGAAACGTGAAAAAGAATTAATAGAAAATAAGTTAAAAAAAAATAAATTATTGATGTTGACTTTATTTCATTTTATGGGGTCTATAGCTGACGTGTGTGGACGGAACTATTAATTTCTCAAGTCGATTAGTTGAGACATCTATTCGTATTCTAAATGAGTTGATATTTAATTTCGGCGTACAAAGCATTAAAGCTTCTTTCTTATTGAGCAGTAGATCAAATATCTCTTCCTATTAATTCTGTGCCTCCTATGTTAGGCAACTTCCAATCAAATACAAAAACCAAAAAGGTGCAAGTGCAAAGCTCCACCAAAGCCAATCCCATTATGATACCCAGGACAGCCTTCTCCTGCCACCCCCAAATGGTAACGATTCATTAATCGACTCTAAAATCAATGAATTATCTATAACTCTTTCTGGAAAAAGAATTCTTCAGGGGATTTTTCCAAGTTAGAGGTCTCTTTCTATCGCCCACACATTTACCTGGATTCGAGTTTTGGCGATGAATTCATAGCCATGATGCTGAATTGATGACATGGTTTCTCCTTGTATTTAATAGTGTTCCTGGTGGTGCCAATCTCATTTTTTCCTTTCAATACCATCTTTAGGTATTCAAGCTCTGTCAATTTCACTCAGATAATTTTCTTTTTTGTTTCCAAGAGAGTCTGATTTCTTTCTGTCGCTTCTCATTACCTCTAGGATTTTCTAACAAGGATTTCTAACAAGTTCTGCCATGGCCCAGACTAAGACTATTGCTCCAGTGTCCACTCCAGCGATAAATATATTCTGATATATAATGTTAAATTGAATTATTCCAAGAGTGCCAAAATTAAGAACTAGAATTGTAAATTCAAAATGAGAAATTATCAAGATTCAAATTTCTAACTTATTGAACTATAATAGTAGTGTCAAATTTTAAGGATCAGTAAGAATATTACCATGAGAATTGCTTTGATATGATTTTGAGAGAATTGAATTCTGTTGGGAAAAAATTACGCAAAAAATCCCTAATAAATCAGAAAATAACACACAATTTGATAACGGAGTTCGGCCAATCTTGCCTACGTCTCCGGACTGCCACAGATCTTTTATAGGAGAAAAATAAATACAGTGTTTACATACACTCACAACTCTTTATTCAAGAATACCCGAAAAATTAAGCTTAATTTTTCTTGTTTATTATTCTAATTTATTCAACACAACATAGCCAACCCTTCATGAATCACTTCTTGAAATCTTTCATGGGCAAGTCCTCTCTCTTGAAAAGTTTCCCCAAAAGCTACTCTACAGGTAACATTTGCAGTAAGAGACAAAGTCTTTTCACTTAGATCAACAGGAGAAGAAGAGGCTGAAGAAGATTTGATCAACAGGAGAAGAAGAGGCTGAAGAAGATTTTAAAATCGAATCGATTAAAAAACCCACTTCTTCTGTTCTAATGGATTGGAATGATTGAACTCTTTTAGCACTAAAAAGTTCAAGAACACAAATCTTTCTCATTTCTCTCCAGTAATCTCCATAAGATGTAAAAGCTATATCAAGATAGGTGTAAGATAGCCTTCCAGTACCAGCCAAGCGAGGTCTACTGCAACTATTGAGGTCATTTGCTTTAAAGAGCTCTTTTGCAGCTTCTGCAGAGGAGATAATAACTGTAGGAACTCGACCAAATTGGAGAAGCATCACAGGACCATATTTCTTAGATAGTTTTAGTGTTACATATCTTGGCAAAACCCTTTAATTTTTTTTTTTTTTGAACAGCAAAGAAAAATAAGATTTTATTAGAAAAGATTAAGAGAAAGGGTAGGATTAGCACTTATGATGGTCCTATTTATTAAATATTTAATTTAAAAGCAATGAGATTTTATTCATTTCATGAGCTATGTGGATATAATTAGCATAATAACTTTGATAATAAGGAAAGACTCAAAAGATTAATTAAATTTTGTAATTTTCATTAAAAGATTTCAAATTTTTATGAGACAGAAATGATTATGAAAAAGAATTAGTAACTTTGATTTAGATAGTAATATAAGATCACCATAAGTGGATGAAGACGCCTTACAAAAGATGAGCAATCAGAACCTTTAATATTTGTGTGGATATAAAGAGTGGTGGGAGAGATAATTTTAGAATTTATAGCATTATGCCATTATCTAGTGGAAAGAAATAAAAACATCGTGTGAAAGAAACTGTTCAAGACCGTTAAGCCTTTAACCTTTGCCTACTAATTAAGGGTTTTTTGGACAATATTAATTGTTTTAGTTACTATTAACTGTTCTATTAGCTCTTAGATGTTAGCTATTACCTTCGTAGAGCTGGTTGATGAAAAAAACTATTTGATGATAACTGTCTATATAACGGTTTAATTTTAAACGGTTCGGATACAAATATTTAAAAAGATATTTCAACAGATTTGGAATGGATACGGATATTCAAAATTCACATGTACTCGTGCAGTTTCCATCCCTATTAATAGTGGGACCTATGCATCACTTAATCAGCAGAAGGACCAAGCCACGCCCTTTCAGCTCTAGAAGCACCGATTTGTTTCCTGTATTGGCTTCTACTTTCGCTATTTTGTTTCGTGCACTGATGGTGAAGTTTTTGAATTTTTTCGGCCAAAAACACGTTAAGAAGCTTCTCAAGTTTGTAATCCATGACTTTTGAGCTCTTAAAATTTTATTTGTCCACGTGAAACCTTTGTACTATTATTTTTAATGACATTAAGGACTTATTTAAATATAGACTTTACTTTAAAAATCCGACCAAAACAGTTTGATTTATTTTTATATATTCTACGTAATAAAGTTTTGAGGTGGATTTATATATTAGCTTTTTATTGTCATGATAAATTTTATACATTGGCTTCTTATTGTCACAACAAATTTTAGTGCCTCATGTTATCACAGTAGAATTTCATTTGCGAAAAAGCGGTGAAAGATGAAATTTAGGGTTTAAATTATTTTAAATAAATATAACTTTGTAAAAAATAACACTATGCCCCTCAGCTTATTAAATTGGTAAAAACAACTACAGTTGAAAAGATTCAAACTCAAGAGCCCCTACTCTTCACATAAATGAGAAAATCAACCAAATCACTACCTATGGATATAATTTTATCTTCTTTAGCAAATTGATGGATGACAATATTTAGTTTTAAGGAGTTTAACTATTTTTAGAAAATTATATTACACAAAACTACTTTTAGAAAATTAATTCAATTAATGTTGATTTAGTAACTTTTCATCCAAATAAATTATATACGGCCTCATTGATTAAGTTTGAGGCAACATCAACAAGTTTTACATGATAGATTGTTAAAAGAAAATAGCTTTATCAATCGATAAAAATTAAAAAATTAGCCAAAATTGTAAGAACAGTCAAAGTGCAAAATTAAGTAATTTATCAGTTGAATTGCAATAATTTACTTAAAATAATTATTGTAAATTATTTAATTAATATTTCAGTTCATTACTTGAAAATTTCAAAAAGAGTGTATAAGTAAGCAAATTATTTAATTAAGCAACACAAACATAAGTTATAATAATTTTTTTGAAAACTATATTCAATTTAATTAAAAAAAAAGAAAATTATACAATTCGATCATGGCGCGGGCACATGACTAAATAAATAAAAGCTCAACCAAGTTTGTTTTCGTGGCATGATATTGTGAAATTTGGTTAGTGATGTGAAATTTTATTATTTATCAAATTTTTAATAATTTTATTTAATTACATAATTTTAAATAATTTTATGGTTTGATTAAAATAGATTATTTCAATTTGCAAAAGTAATATTTATATCTATTATTTTTGATTTAGTTAAGAAGGTGAATTTATTATTTTAAATTTGTTAGGGTAGAGTGCTTTTATCATTTTTAAATTTATAGAAAAAGTTGGATTAATAATTTTTATTATAATAGTCAAAGACTAAAAAAAATATCTTTTAAGGAAAGGAGTAAATGATACATATTATTTCTTTTATCATGTAATCAAACTTAATTCATATCAATTATTTATATATTTTAAACTTTAATTTATTATTTTGTCATCTTTAATGAATCTTTAATATATCAAAAATATTTTATTAATTAATAAAATGATGCAATTGTTTAGTCTTATAGTTGAAATAGAATAAATAACCAATCAAATAATTTTTAAAATATAAAAATAATGTAACTCTTTCATAATAAATCATTTAAAAGTATTAACCCGCACAACGTACCGGGATACTTAATTAGGTATAATGAAACTAAATATTTTTGGATGATTTTGAATATGTTAAACAAGTTTGGAAACTACTTGAGAAATTCTTAAGTAGGCTCCATCTACTAGATCGCCTTATACTAGGCAAATAATGTAATGTCACATCTACCTACAATGCCAATGTTATATATTCTTTTAATGGAATTCATTACATATTCTCTTAGCGTATTCTTCTAGTTATCCGAACAAACCCACCTGTAAACCAAAACTAGTGCATAACACAGAAAATTACACCAAAGCTGTTCCTCCTTAGATGTAGGTTTATTCTTTATTAGCTTTAGGTTTGTTCTAACCGTCTTTTGCTTAGCTGTCAATTTGTTAGGCCTGTTTTATTTATTTGTTACAGCTAGCCATATATATAATCTGTATTGTACTTTCCTTTCCATCAATGAAGCATTATCGATTTTTTCCTCAAAAAGTTGATATATTCCTTTAATGAAACTTTTAATTTCTAGAATCTGTTGCTGGCTTTCAAGTTTTGGTTACATCCTGTTCACATTTTGGATCTGTTCAGTAGGTGTCAGTTGTTTTAACAGTGTTTAGGTATTTAAGTAGTTACTATCTGTTTAAATAGATTTTTAATCTAATTTAATAAAAAAAATGACATTATATTTTTTGGTCTACTTTATGGATGATGAGATAGACGATCCTAAATTTTTTTGAGCTATGGGCGGCCCCGCCTGTAACCCCCTCCCTGTATATTTGTGTTAATAGTGGTTAATAATTTGTGGTCGCCTCTTCTTCTTCTAAGATATTATCTTCCACTTCCACCTTTTCTTTTTCTTGTTTTCACTTGAACATCCAAAAAGAGAGAAACATTCAGACAAGTAATGGCTTCTCTATCTCTACATATGTGGTTACCTCTTCTCCTTCTTCTCTTCCCCTTTATTTTTCTTTTGAAAAAGAAACTAAATAGCAAGCACCTTCCACCAGGTCCTCCTGGACTTCCAATAATACTCTACATATGTGGTTACCTCTTCTCCTTCTTCTCTTCCCCTTTATTTTTCTTTTGAAAAAGAAACTAAATAGCAAGCACCTTCCACCAGGTCCTCCTGGACTTCCAATAATAGGCAATTTACACCAGCTTGGGACCTTACCTCCTTACTCTTTATGGCAACTATCCAAGAAATATGGTCCTGTCATGCTTCTCCAGCTTGGTCAAATTCCTACAGTTATTATCTCCTCTGCAGAAGCTGCAAAAGAGCTTATCAAAACAAATGACCTCAATAGTTGTAGTAGGCCTTGCTCCGCTGCTACAGGAAGACTAAGTTACAACTTTCTTGATATATCTTTTGCACCTTATGGAGACTACTGGAGAGAAATGAGAAAGATTTGTGTTCTTGAACTTTTTAGTGCTAAAAGAGTTCAATCGTTTCAATCCATTCGAGAAGAAGAAGTGGGTTTTTTAATCGATTCGATTTTAAAATCATCTTTAAAATCTTCTTCTCCTGTGGATCTTAGTGAAAAGACTTTGTCTCTTACTGCAAATGTTATTTGTAGAGCAGCTTTTGGGAAAAGTTTCCAAGAAAGAGGATTTAACCACGACAGGTTTCAAGAAGCGATTCATGAAGCTTTTGCCATGTTGGGGAGTTTTCCTGCAACTGACTTTTTTCCTCATGTTGGATGGATTGTTGATAGGCTTACAGGTCTCCATACAACCCTTGAAAGAGTCTTCCAAGAATTTGATGAGTTCTACCAAAAGATTATTGATGATCATATCCAAATGGGAAAAGCAGATCCTGGACATGAAGATATCATTGATGTTTTATTGGATTTGGAGAGACATCGAACTGCATCTGGTGGAATTCAAATCTCCCGAAATCATATCAAAGCAATTCTAATGGTAATATTCCTACTGATTCTTAAAAACTTTGTTTTGGTAAGTGTATTTAATTAGTAAGAAATTGTTAGGCATTAGCGCTGATACTAGTTTTTGGGCATTAGCTTTGATACCATTTGTTAGACCCTTTCAACCAATTAAGAGAAAATTAACACAGCGGAAAAGTAAACTTGTGACACACATAATTTACGTGGTTCACCCTCAACTGTTTAGGGCTACGTCTACGGACAAATTCCGAATAATTCTTCCACTATTAAAAATAGTAGGTACACATAGAGTAATATAAAATAGTGGCACGCTAAGCGTTTCCCAAAAACACCCCAAAATAATTTTCTCACTATTTTTCTTCCTCTAGTTTTAGAAAACCCTTCCTAAAACTAGAATTCTCTCTCTACATTTTTTTTTTCTGCTTCGTCCTTCTGCTATGTGTGTTGATGTGTTGTGCTGTGTTTAAATGAGCTTCGTCTGCCTCCTTTTATAGGCAGTTCAGTGAATGAGTCGTGTATAACTCATTCACGTCATTGTACTTTGTCAAAGAAAAATTGTCTAACTTTTCTTCTTTTTCAAATAACACGTTTTCTTTTTTTTTTAACTTTTCTTCTTTTTCAAATAACACGTTTTCTTTTTTTTTCTTTTTTAAAGCAGGTGGATCCCATATGTCGGAGGGACCCACAACAGAAATAAAATAGCTAGCTAAGATGGGTCAATGACTTCACCGGTACCAAACCAAACAAAATATAAATTTTTTAAGAGTTGTTTCTATTTTCTTTTTTGTTTCCTCAGTTTATGATAAAAAAATACTATCATTTTAATAAGATTTTTATTTTTATTGGTTTGGTACCTGGGTGCATAGGGCTATAATTTTGCAAAAGGCAATTATTATTTAGAGACTTTGCATATGTTCGGCAAATTTAGCTGTTCTAGTAGCTGTTAGCTGTTTTAATAGTTATCATCTGTTTTACTAGTGATTAGCTGCTAAATATTAGCTGTTAGTGGTTAACAAGGTTTAGAATAAAAGCGTTCGATACAAATAACTTTTTGATTAGCTGTTTAATATAAATGACAAAAAAAGATATCACAGCGAGGAACAAGGTAAAGATAAGTGATGGATACAAGTATCATAAATAAATTATAAATCGCTAAATGTTAATAGAGATAATGTTTCATATAACACTATCTCAAACTCGAACACTAGGATAAATATTGTATTACCAAACACTATAATTAATTAAAATAGTGTTTGAATCCTGTCAAAACACTAAACACTAATTCAAACGCTGCTGTTGAACATCGACTTAATAGCTGTTAGATGTTAGCTGTTTTAAGTATATGTTAGTTGTTTAAATAGCAATTGAAAGCGAAAGTATTCTGTAAAAATAACTATTTGATTGGCAATTAAATTTGAAATTATAAAAAAACATTGTAATATTTACTTAGATATTTTCAATTATGACCATAGAATTAAACTCATTATAAAAAAAAAAAAAAAAAAAAAAAAGAAAAAAAAAAAAAAAAAGATGATTTCACTATCTAAATTTTCAAAATTCAAGGGAGCAAAAATTAAAAAGTTTCACTATTTTGTAAATAAAATTGAAAGTTTTTAATATTTTAGGGGATTAATATTTTTAATTTTTAATTTTTAATATTTTCTTTGAGTTCAATTGCAATTTACTATCTATTATAAACAAGCCAAACATAAAAAATAATAATAATAATAAAAAGACATATGTGATAAAAGAAAGAATTTAAATTAATAAAGGATATGGTTGTAAGAAATTTTCAGTAAAAAAACCTAAATCGCTATCCATTGGGTGGGATAATATTTTAAAAAATGCCCATTCATCCACTAAAAGGTACTTCATATATCTGGTTACTAAACACAATAATATAGATGAATTTAAAAGCTATTTTGAACGTTGTTGTCAAACACAGACTTTAGTTCTTAAGATTTGGCCAACTAAAACTAATAAAGACCTTAATTTTTAAAATTATAGAATTATTATATTTGTAGCGTCTGAACTTTTTATTTTTATATTTTAGCGTTTGAGTGTAGAAATTTCAATTGAGCAAGAACTAATAAACTATTGAGCAATAATTATTAGTGTTAGAACTAATAATTATTATATTGAGCAAGAATTTCCTATGAAAAAAATCAAAATAAACTATTTTCCTCCATTGTTTTATTTTATTTATTTTTTTAGAGTATTGCCTTTTTTTCTTATTTCTTTCTCTCTGTATTTTTTTTTTTTAATTTTTTCTTGCATTTGAAAGAGATTTTTTTTTGAAAAAAATATAACACAACAAAAAACTAAAAGAATAAAAAATAGAGAAATATTGAATTAAAAGAATAAAAAATAGAGAAATATTGAATGAATGTTTATGTTTAATATTATTTATCGAGTAAAATAGTAATTTTAATTTTCTGACAACATCATCCAGCAAATGCACTTAAGTGTAACTTTTTAATAGTTCAAAATGAAAAAAATTAAAAGTTTAGACACCACAAATACAATTAATCCAAAATTAAATCAACTAGTCCTTGTATGTACTCCTGGTATACTATATATATAAACTTAATATTAGTTCTTTCCACAAAGTAAATGTGAAATGAAAAATATCCATATGTAGTAATTACTAATTACTGTATATATAGTATCTAGAGTTTAGTCAAAAACTCTTGTAAGGACATGTTTTCAAAATTATACTATTTAGTCTTTATACTGTTCACATTTTACACTGGTTCATCCAGCTGTTATCGAAACATTTTCATATAACCACATTTACGTTGTTACTTTTGCATTTATTATTATTATTTTTATGTTGATTAACATGAAATGGGAAAAATATGACAGAGGGACTAAATAGTGCAATTTTGAAAACCAAAATCATTACTACAATGTATTTGACCAAAAGATAAGGACAACATATATAGTAATTATTCCATTTGAAAAATATCTATTACATAATGATAAATAATTAAATGATTAAAAAATTAACTAAAGTTTAATATTAGAAATTGAAATAAAGATCACTTTGACCTTACATAATGATAAATAATTAAATGATTAAAAAATTAACTAAAGTTTAATATTAGAAATTGAAATAAAGATCACTTTGACCTTTAAACTTGTTCAGCGGATCAAAAAGGTCATATTTGACTTTTTAGATCAATTTATCGTCTGAACTTATTTAAAATGATTAAAAAAGTTTATATTCAACTTTTTAGCCCATTTTAATCCTTAAATTTATTTTAAAATTTTTATAAATTAATAAATTGATTCAATTCAATAGGATTGACCATTCTCTCCTCGTGTTTTATACTAAAAACACCATATGAAACTTTTTCAATTATTCTAAATTAAAGTTTAAATTCATAAAAACATCATTTTTATATACATTAAATTTACAAAGTATGCAGTATAATTTTAATCTGGTCAAAATGAGAAACACATAGATTTCATATCAATTTTCTAATGTTAAATTAATATATATTTATGAACTTAAAAATCACCTGTGAAGCTGAATAGAATATAATATACTTCATATATGGCTTTTCTTTATTTCATATTTAATTAATTTTTATGGTTTTCCTTTATATTTAATTATTTTTTTCATAAATTATACGGCATGATCCCAACTATAATGTTAAATATCTATAAATATAATGAAGAATCAATGACTAAATTAGTCAAAATATTAAACACGATCTTTTTTATAATTTTTAACAAATTCAGGGGTAAATTGATCCAAAATCTTAATTATGAGCTTTTTAATCATTTTAAATAAGTTCAGGGTGGTTAAATTGATCAAAAAGGTCATATTTGATATTTTTTTTATATGGTAAACAAGTGACTAAATTGATCTTTATTCCATTATAAATTTGGTATTTGCTTGCGGATAAAACTGTACGGTAAGTGTTTCCCTTTTCTTAAAATAGTTATTTCACATTTAAATTTGAATGAGAATCATGAATTTCTGTTCTATGAGACAACAATTTGTTCTCTAACAATCTGCTTTCTCCAAATTCCAAACTAGTTCGTGAACCAAACAAAATCTTGAAATCTCTTTATTGTTTGATTCGTTTTCTTCTTTTGTTTGCTTGTTATGAATTAATAATGCACATTCCAATTAACGAAATAAAACAAGATTAAAGTGTAGAACTATCATTCCATTTCTTGCATAAGAATATTATCCTCTAACACAATTAATTTCGCACACTGATAATTTCTGATTTCAAAAAATGTAAATTTCTGATATATTAAAAATTTACACTTACATTGAACAATTCTGAGTTTTGGCTTGAATTTGACACTGTCAGAATAATTCAATTTAACATTATATATCAGGATATATTTCTGGCTGGAGTAGATACTGGAGCAGTAGTCATGGTCTGGGCAATGACAGAACTTGTTAGGAACCCTAGAGTTATGAGAAAAGCACAAGAAGAAATTAGAAGTCTAATTGGAGAAAAAATAAAAGTATCTGAAAGTGATACTGACAAGTTCATCTACCTAAAGTCGGTTTTGAAGGAAACAATGAGATTGCATCCACCAGTACCACTGCTACTTCCAAGAGAAGCCATCTCACAATTCAACATCAATGACTATGAAATTCATCCTAAAACTCGAATCCAGGTCAATGTGTGGGCGATAGGAAAAGATCCTAAAATTTGGAAAAATCCTGAAGAATTTATTCCAGAGAGATTCATTGATAATTCTATTGATTTTAGAGGGCAGAATTATGAATTTTTACCGTTTGGTGGTGGTAGGAGAAGTTGTCCTGGTATAACCATGGGATTGGCTTTGGTGGAGCTTGCACTTGCAAACCTTTTATTTTGCTTTGATTGGGAGTTGCCTTACAATATGAAGGAGGCAGATATTAATATGGAAGAGAAATTCGGTCTTACTAATCATAAGAAAGAAGCTTTAATGCTCGTACCAATTAAATATCATCACCTTCTGTATAATAAAGAATAAATGTCTCAAATAGCTTTAATTGATGAAATTAATAAATATGTGTCTCAAATAGCTTTATTGATGAAATTGAATAAAAATAATTTCCCAATTTCCAATTTCCGTTTTCACCACTTTATAGATAATACTGGAAACGGTATGTAACTAGTTTCCTCAAAGAAGTCAAGTGTAAATAGAAGAATATTTAAATCAAAATTAAAAAAGTGGAATGAAAATTTGGGGATAACAGCTGAAATTGATTTTCATATTTCCTCCCGATTTTGTGTTGCTTTAAAGAATATGGTTAAATAGAAGAAGGAGTATAAGAAATGTAGGATTTTCTTTGTTCAAGAGAAATGATATCTATAGAAATGGATAGCTGCTAACAAGTGAAATCGTTAGAGATCGATTAAAAGAGTAAAGACAATTGCTTATTTAAGAGTCAAAATTGAAGCCATCAATGTTAAAAGTTGAATTAATGTTAAATTGAATTATTCTAAGAGTGCAAAATTGAAGCCAAAATTAAGAACTAGAATTGTAAATCCAAAATGAGAAATTATCAAGATTCAAATTTCTAACTTATTTTAAGAATCAGTAAGAATAGTACCATGAGAATTGCTTTGATATGATTTTGAGAGAATTGAATTCTACCAGATTCAGTTTGATCTTTCTCCATTTCCAACAAAACATCAATGATATCTTCATGTCCAGGATCTGCTTTTCCCTTTTGGATATGATCATCAATAATCTTTTGGTAGAACTCATCAAATTCTTGAAGGTTTCTTTCTAGTCTTTCATGGAGACCTATAAGCCTATCAACAAGTCCAACCCACATAAGGAAAAAAATCAGCTGATAAGGAAAAAAATCAGCTGCAGAAAAACTCCCCAACATGTTAAAGATCAATATTAGCCCCATTGTTGAAATTCAAAGTTAGGTCAAAGTTAGGACACCAAATTAATTTGATGTCATTGCCTACATCATTTTAGTTAGGTGAAAATTAGGTAGTATTTCTTTAATCTCAATGGTCTAGATTAGTTTGTGTTTATTTTAATGAATGGTGTAGATTGATTTTTGTAATCTATAAATACCCCCCTTGTGTTTGAGTTTTATTATCTAAGGATCAAAGCTTAAATAAAAGCGTTTTGAAAGCTTTCTTAAGTGTTCTTCTTCTTTGCAATTTTGTTAGATAGTTCTTAAGAGTGTTTTTCTTCTTCTTGATAAATTAGAGTTTTATTATTCTAATTTATTCAACATTCAACATTTGGTATCAGAACCTAGGTTCAAGTTAAATACACAGATAATTTTAAGTAGGCACTGTGGTTGCAGCTTAAACCGATCTTCCACATCTGAAAGAAATTTTCTTGGTATTTTATTTGACTTAAGGCAAAAGATGGGTGATCTTCATGTCAGTGGAGGAATCAAGAAGCTCAACAACCAAAACTACAACAACATGTGGGCAACATGTATGGGAGTTTACCTACAAGGTCAAGAGACTGTGGGGAAGTCGTCGGTGGTAGTGAAGTTACACAGACCGGCAGTAGAAGATGCCCAACGGCGTCTTACGGGAAGTGGAAAATTTAAAGCAAGCAATAGGCAAGTTTGTTTAAAGACCACAATAGAAGGAAGAAATGTTGGGGAAAGGGGGGGGCCACATTCGGGATGCCAAAAACACCGAAAGAAGCGTAGGACACGTTTGCTACACTCTTTTCAAAGAAGACGATACCAAAATGTGCAACTTTTGGCAGAATGACTTTCTATCCAATGGCGCAACGGTGATTGACGGTTGCCCAATACTCACAAGGTGAAAGACGATTATCGTCGCGAAATTTCAGAATTAGATCCGACAGCTGCTGATTGGGGAAGCTAGGATAAAAAGAATAATTATCATGGCTTGAGACCTGATACCGAGGTTGTCGCTGCGCAAGGTTACAAGGATGGGCCGACACAACCATCTCTTGTGAGGTTTGAAATTTGTTGGCCGGTCAAGAAGCATGGCTAAAACAAATGGAGAGTCTCGCTAAGGGGTGAAGCGGAAGCGGCTCTACACCAACCAAAGTATAGAGTGGTTCAAAACAATACAACAAATCAAAACAATACAACAAAGGTGGATCTAAAAAGGGTGGTGACAAGATGAAAAATCACCAAGGAAAAGGAGGCTCTCGTCCAGGGGGAGCTTCGAAGAATCGCGGCAGTAGTAGAAAGTTTGATGGCGAGTGTTACAATTGCGGGAAGATGGGCCATATGGCAAAAGATTGTTGGTCCAAGAAAAAGTCCGCTGAAAGTAATGCTGCTACTTCCAGTTCTAAGAAAAATATCGAAGACGATTGGGATGTCGAAGCATCATTTGCTATGGAGAAAGAAGAATTAGCTCTTACGGTAACAACAGCAAAACGAATAGACTATAAGAATGATTGGATTGTAGACTCAGGTTGCTCAAATCACATGACGGGTGATAAACAGAAGCTGCAAGACCTATCTGAGTATAAAGGAAATCGTGTTGTGATAACGGCTGATAACAACGGCTGAAAGCTCGAAGGTTTACCAATAGCTTCACATTTGGTTAAAGCCTATTATACACTTCACATTGGTAAAGCTATTATTACACCTCGATATAATCCCAATCAAGTTCCACTCGAAGATGTCTATCATGTTCAGGGAATGAAGAAAAATTTGCTATCCGTGGCTCAATTGACATCATCAGGCCACTATGTCTTGTTCGGTCCTCAAGATGTAAAGGTATATCGTTATCTTAAAATCTTAGAAAAACCGATAATGGAGGGGCAACGATTGGAGTCGGTCTATGTGATGTCAGCAGAGTCTGCATATGTAGACAAGACAAGGAAAAATGAGACAGCAGATCTATGGCACATGCGATTAGGGCATGTTAGCTATTCCAAGCTAAGTATGATGGTGAAGAAGTCGATGCTTCCTCAACTTGATGTGAGAACGGATACAGTCTGCGCAGGATGTCAATATGGTAAAGCACATCAACTGCCATATGAGGAGTCAAAGTTCAAAGCAAAGAAACCATTAGAGTTAATTCACTCTGATGTGTTTGGACCTGTTAGACAAACATCAATTGGCGGAATGCGGTATATGGTGACGTTCATTGACGATTTCTCTAGATATGTATGGGTTTTCTTCATGAAAGACTTTTCTTCATGAAAGACAAATCTGAAGCATTCTCAAAGTTCAAAGAGTTCAAAGAGATAATTGAAGGAGAAGTGGAGCAAAAGATTCGTTGCTTGCGCACAGACAATCGGGGAGAATATAGCTCAGGAGAGTTCTCTCAATTTCTACGGGCATGTCAAATACGTCATCAGTACACTTGTGCCAACACGCCACAACAAAATGGTGTAGCTGAGAGAAAGAACCGGCATCTTGCAGAAATTTGCCGAAGCATGTTACATGCGAAAAACGTACCTGGAAGACTTTGGGCCGAAGCTATGAGAACTGCAGCTCATGTCATCAATAAACTTCCTCAACACAAGGTTGATTTTGTTTCACGCCTTTGAGAAATTGTGGAAAAGAAACCTACAGTTAGCTACCTTCGAGTTTATTTGGCTGGTGTATGCTATGTATTTGTTCCTGCAATCTACGTTAGCGAAGATCGATAAAAAGCAACAGATGTATGCTTTGTGGGATACGATAACCAGAGAAAGGGTGGAAATGTTGTGATTCCAGCAAGTGGAAGTGCTACACATCACGAGATGGTGGTGTTCGATGACAGCATCCTCATGGTGGACCTCAGAAAAGGGAAGTATTGCAGGACTCAAAAGAAGTTTCAAGCAAGCTGCAACAGAAATAGGGGGGAGCATTACCGTTCCAAAATTCAATCAAGTCCAGAAAAAGTTGAAGAATCCATGGAAGAATGGATGAACAAACAGTAAGCCAGGAATTCCTTGGCAACTGGGTATATCAACAAACCAGATGGAAGAAAGGATGGGTCTATGTAACCGGAAAAGAATCAACTCCACATTCTCAACTCCGAAGATCAACAAGAACTAGAAAGCCCCAAATCCCAAAATACGCCAAATCGAGCTATAAGTTTAAAGAAGAACTGTAACAGAAACCTGAGACGTTTGAAGAAGCATCCAGAGTTCAGAATGGTGACAGCCTATGAAAGGAAGAAATTACTGCACTTGAGCAAGAATCAAACTTGAAACTTATACCCAAAGCCAAGAGATGTGAAACCCACCCCCCTTTCCTGTGTAAGTGGGTTTACAAGATAAAGCGTCGTCCAGATGGGTTTCAATCGGAGAGGTACCAAGGACGATGCTAGCGCGTCGGTCTGCTCAACCAATATGATAGACTATTGATGAAACGTTTAGTCCGTGGCGAAACTTACAACAGTACGAGTCCTACTTTGCACTGGCCGGCCATACAAGATTGAGTTTATGGCAGATGGATGTTAAAATGCGTTTTCTTCATGGAGAGCTGGATCGGGAGATCGTATATGCGTTCAACCAATGGGTTTCGCAGAGTTCCAAGATCATCCTGAATATGTGTAAGCTACAGAAAAGCACTCTATGGATTAAACAAGCTCCAGGGCATGGTATGGTAAGATTGCTTGGAATTTCTAACGTCAGAAGTTTGGTATTCAGTAAACCACCTGCGATCTAGCTTATTTGTCAAAAGCCAATGGAGGAAAACTGCGTATGCGTACAGTGTATGTGGAGTGATTTGATCATAACCGGTATGATGAGGCAGAAGTTCTGTCGAGACAAGGAGAAAATTTATCAGTTCCGTTTGCCAAATGAAGGAACTTGGACAACTCAAGCACTTCCCTTGGTCTAGAGATGATCGTTCACAAGAAGGGAATTTCTGTGTCCAGCAAAAAGATTCCAAAGATTTTATTGAAGGGTTGTGGGAATGGCTTGAGTGCAAGAGTGCAAGCCAATTTCGACGCCGATGGAACCAAATGCCAAAATGTGTACACATGAAGGAAAAGATTTGGAAGATGCGACGATGTATCGACAATTGGTAGGTAGTTTGATCTACTTAACCCTGACTCGACCTGACATTTCTTATGCAGTTGGCGTAATGAGTCGATACATGCAA